CACGTGGATGACAGGTTGAGCGCTGGCTGCCCCCATCCCCGTGTGTCACAAGGACCCACTTGCACGCAGCCAAAAGGCAAAGAGGTAAAGAAGGGGAGGAGGAAACCAAACCTGACAGGGAAAGAAAGATAGGGAAAGAAAGATAATATATATATGCATTTGCAATTTTGGCCAACAATCAAGGAGAATGCTTGAGAGAAGAGGTGCACGCCAAGGCAAACAACCATACTTCATAAGATAAGTTAAAACAAATCATTAAAACTTATAAAAAGTTAAAAACATGAAGATGAAATTGAAAATGGGAGTCCCGAGGAGGGGCGTGGTTGGTAAAGGGGGGGGGGGTTGCCCGTTCCTGTTTGGGTGATAAATTCGTAATAAGGGTGTTATAGTCAGTCAGAAAAAGATTTGCTTTCAACGATGGGCAGACTAGCACTAGGACCTTCGGTGACGTATCCGACGGAGAATAAGGCCATATTCAGTCCAAAATACACGACAGTGAGTACAGGCAAAACCACAATCTGAATCCTAGGCTTCATTAGAGAATTGATCACGTAGTACGAGTACTGGTTGAACCGAACAGCCCCCGTAGTCGAGAGGAATTGGGAAGAGAGAGGGTGTGGACACCGGAGATGGTAGGTGGTTTAATGCCATCAGTCTTGGGGGGGCACTGCCCCCAGCCTTAGCCTCAAACACTACCGTCTTCACCCGAATAGAATGCCCGGTAATTATCACCGTATCTAGGCTGAAAGTTGTGCCAAATACAGCTATGATGACTGGGCGTTCTATTCGGGTGAAGACGGTAGTAGCTATATAAGGCCTTCGCCTTCAGCACTGCCCCCCGCCTTGGCCTTTGGCACTACTGGGGCCAGCCTTCGCCTTTCAGCATGGGATTCTGCCTTCAAGGCTTCTTTCTATATGTGCGTTGGAACTTCGCAGCATGAATTATTAATTTACTACTCCTTTTCTTGACCAAGCACATTCACGCACATGGAAAGATTTTCAGGAGTTGAATTATCAACCGGTTTTCAAAGATATCAAAATTATCAATTTTTCACTGAGAAAGCTGACGTCCACAGACAAATTATTTCAAATTCAGTCACATTAAAAAAATCCAGAATCGCGGGAATAGAATAATCAATTTTACTGTACAACTCTCAAATTGGCTTAAACACTGAGTCAGTTTTTCCCAACAATCCTGACCAATTTCCCCTTATGTATACACTACTATACGGACGTCCCAACATCTATGCTGCCTTACTCAAATTCCTTGTGTGAGCTCTCTTCTCTACCCTACACACACATCCGGCTGATGGCTAGAAGCCTAAGGTAGCATAGTGTCAAGCAAGGTACCATGCGATCCCACTTCATCCTGCCAAACAAGCATGACGTTTTCAATTACGCACTCTGCAGCATTGAGATAGGGAGAATAAAGAGGGAGGCAGAAATTGCCGTGACCGTCTACGGACCGCATACCATTGTATAGCTTGAAGAGCTTGAAGAGCGAGAGCGAGAGCGAGAGAGAGAGAGAGCATAGTGTCAAGCAAGTTACCATGCGATCCCACTTCATCCTGCCAAACAAGCATGACGTTTTCAATTACGCACTCTGCAGCATTGAGATAGGGAGAATAACGAGGGAGGCAGAAATTGCCGTGACCGTCTACGGACCGCATACCATTGTATAGCTTGAAGAGCGAGAGAGAGAGAGAGAGAGAGAGAGAGAGAGAGAGAGAGAGAGAGAGAGAGGCAGAAATTGCCGTGACCGTCTGCGGACTGCATACCATTGTATAGCTTGGAGAGAGAGAGAGAGAGAGAGAGAGAGAGAGAGAGAGAGAGAGAGAGATTGTCGTGACCGTCTGCGGACCGCATACCATTGTATAGCTTGGAGAGAGACAGAGAGAGAGAGAGAGATCTTGGTTGCTGCCTTATGACAACTATTATAAGATCATAGCTCTCCCGTGCAGAGTATGCTCTCGGTCGCTACATAGTGCTACAGTGAGCGCCACTTATACTAAGTCAAAATGATGCATGTGGGTGCTGATACGACTGGGCAAGGTTGCGAAGTTCGGGAACTCCTGGGCGAAAGTATAGCTTCCATTTTCGCAAAATCGACTTGCGCCATGACAATTTTTTGAAAATTCTCACCGCCAATTTGAAAAATCGCTACCACGAATTGAGCGCCTAAAGAGCATTTTGGACAAAGCCACGCCGAAACGTCGCAGAGCACCACATAATTGGAACTAACAGCATGTGAAAACGCAGTAGCTGTCCTTCGGTACAAACGTTAAAATTGGAGCGATACAGAGAAAGAGACTATTAGCATGGCCCCTGGGCAAGGATGACGACACGAATAAATCTAGAAATGGTCCAAATTATTATTATTGAAAAGAAAGAACGAAAGAAAAAAACCCACGGCAGCCCCGAAATAGCTGCATCAAAGGAGTACTTGACAGAGAAATACAAAATCTATATTCTCCGTCCTTTTCGGATATATACTTCCCCCAAAAGAACAGGTGGTAAAACATGGGGGATCTTATCCAATAGAATTAGAAGAATTCGGTTTTTCGAAATTCAGTTTTTCGGAATTAGTTTTTCGGAATTCGTTTTTTTGGGAATTTGTTTTTTCGGAATTCGTTTTTTCGGAATTCGGTTTTTGACAACTTTTTCTTTCCTTTATCTGACATGCATACAGGCTAAGCTCTCTGGAACACGTTCCCATCTATTGACACTTGTCCTCTCCATGGAGGAGGAGGAGGAGGAGGAGGATAATGACACAATGACACGTGTCTAAGCATCACCAGCAATGTTGCTTGCTGATGTCTGCTGCTAAAAATAGCATAGATCATTGCTAAGCACTCGTGCATGCAATGCAATGCGTTGTCGACATTGGTTCTTTCACGTTGACGTGGGTTTTGGAGGGGACGTTTTGGGAGGGGAAATTTTTAGAAGGAAATCCTAGAGGAAGATTTGCTGAGGGAAGAACTTTAGAATGACAACTCTTGGCAGGAAAATTTGGGCAGGTAAATTTTTTGAAGGGAAAATTTTTGAAGCGAAAATTTTAAAATTTGGGCAGGAAAATTTTTTGAAGGGAAAATTTTTGAAGAGAAAATTTTAAAGTTTGGGCAGGTAAATTTTTTGGAAGGAAAATTTTTGAAGAGAAAATTTTGCTCCAGCCTTCAAGGAGTTCACAAGGAGGGTCATTGCACCTCAAACTTCACACAGTGAATTATTGCTGTTTACTACTGTTTACTACTGTTTGCTGCTGTTTTACTGCTGTTTTACTGCTGTTTACTACTTTTTAAGTTTTTCGTATTTACTAGCTAGAATGACTGCCATGGTGGGATTCCTCCGTTTACTGCCGTTTTACTGCTGTCTTAATGCTGTTTACTGCCGTTGTACTGCTGTATTACTGCTGTTTACTGCTGTTTTACTGCTGTTTACTACTTTTACTAAGTTTTTAGTATTTACTAGCTAAAATGACTGCCACGGTGGGAGTCCTCCGTTTACTGCTGTTTTACTGCTGTCTTAGTGCTGTTTACTGCCGTTTTACTGCTGTATTACTGCTGTTTACTGCTGTTTTTTACTGCTGTTTACTGCTGTTTTATTGCTGTTTTACTGATGTATTACTGCTGTTTTATTGCTGTTTTACTGATGTATTACTGCTGTTTACTGGTGTTTTACTGCTGTGTACTGCTTTTTACAAGCTATAACGACTGCCACAAATGCACAGGCCACCGTAGGTATCCTCCGCTATATGTGAACAGCGAAGCCATGTCGATATCATTGATCTTTCCACACTTTATTTCCTCCTATGCTTGGCATATGCTGCCCTTCTGTGGGTTTCATCACTACAAAACATTACTAAACTGCTTTACAAAACATTTTTATTTTTTTTTTCCGGCGGGCTCGTTTTTTGTTTTTCTTTTCTTTCTTTGTTGATGCTACTCCTTCAACCATTGCCGTACTCACAAACATAAACACAAGCTCTTACACAATGTTCCCTTCCCCCCTCCCTCCTTCCCCCTTTTTTAAAACAGACACACACACACACACACACACACACACACACAAAAAAAAAAAAAAAAAAAAAAAAAAAAAAAAAAAAAAAAAAAAAACAGCCACAACCAGATCCGTGCTCGCGTACAGATGACCCTACTCCTCCACTGCTGTGCATCAGAACTCACAGGGAGGACAACCAGCTGAGCTCCTGCTGCTGCTGCACGGTCGATGCACTCATGAGCATGAGCAATGTTTGCTTCCTTGTCTGCAGTCACCCGCAGCTGACAGAGTGCCACCTTCACCTAAGCACACATACACACACACACACACACACACACACACAGAGAGAGAGAGAGAGAGAGAGAGAGAGAGGACAACGAAACCAATTAAACCACAAGGAACTTGAGCGAAAGGAATTGGCAATGGTAGGAAGTAGCAAATAGCAGTATACGTACACATCTGCTGCTCATCATAACAAAGGGCATAGAACTCACATTTCGACTTTCTTGACAGAATCTGGCGACAATCTGTGTTCAGGTACATCCGGAAAATTCCGAGTGTGATTGAGCGAGAGTTTGTGCCCCCTTTTCTCATCTAAGGGGCGCATGTTTTTTTTCCAGCACCCTTGTTTTCATGTCCGGCAGATATGGGCTAAGCCAAGGGGACAAACGATAGTTCCATGCCTGGTTCCACTTCTGGGTCCATCCCTGGTCCCGTTGGCTGTATCACCAACATCCATCGTCCTTGGCCTGCTTCAAATTTTCAAACAGAAATCGGAATTACGGAGGCAGTAAAATCAAACAAAACGCTCAGAAATCGCTCAGTCTTGGGTCTGCTATCTCCGATGCTTAACCATAAGTCTGTCTCAGATGGCAGATGGGGGTGTACTCCCTCCCTCCCTCCTCCGCCGCCTCCTTCCGTCTCCTGCTCAATGAAGACTGCATTGACAGCCATGTCCTTCTCCATCTTGACTTCAATCTAATTTATAAATCGATCTAATCTAGAAATCAACCTAATCTATATAGATCAATCAAATCTAGAAATCAATCTAATCTATATAGATCAATCTAATCTAGAAATCAATCTAATCTAGAAATCTAATCTATATAGATCAATCTAATCTAGAAATCAATCT